AGAGAGCTATAAGCTAAGGAGATGTCTTAGGAATATTCTACTGGTTGCTTTCTAAAACTATAACATGAGTGACAGCATTTTAAAAGACTACGTATCAGAAAAGGACTGTGACTCAAACCATTGTTAACATCATAACTGACTTTTAAAATGGACATAAAATTCTCAAAAGGTTCAGTATTCACAGTATTATGTATATCTGTTCTAGTAAGTACTCTGCCACTAAGGTCTTCAACTATTGTAGATAATGTAAATTTATTTTCATATTTCTATTCATCTATACTTAAACATTAGGCATGTCTATGTACCAATGTCAGAAGTTAATATTCCCATATAAATATATTAACATATATTTTTCAAATTCAAATTAAATCAATTCCTGTATCACATACTTCCTGTGTGATAAAATATATACATATTATGTGTAAGGCAAAATTCTAGACATTTGAGAAGACAATCAATAGATTTGATTAATCTTGTTTTTCCCAAAGTGAGATCAAAGGAGACAATGAACCCAGCACTTTTCTGTCCTCTGAAGTATGTTGTAATTTAGGACATATACCTTAAGAAGAATGTGTTCTTACATTGAAACCTCCCTGGTTTCCTTTTCCAGCTCTGTCATTCTTAATCAAAAAAGATTTCCTTTCTCAGCCTCACTTTCCCTATATTCAGAATGGACTCTATTAGAGTTCATGAGACCATTGCAGGGTCAGCAGCCCACATGTGTAGTGTCTGACGGAGGCTTTCGCAATAAGACTGTTTAAAAAAAAAACAAAAAACAAAAAAACAAAACGCTGCTGAAGAGGGAAGAGAGAGCTAGGTAACCATATTACAACAAAGAACTAGTGTTTGTTCTAATACAAAGTATTAGTATTTTCTAGTCAAGATTCTGAATGAAAAGTGAACTATTTCCTTATAGACTTCAACTACATTTCACGTCAAAATTCAAACAAATGTTTGCAAACGTTACAAAACTTTCTATACATTTACAAAGCTTACAATTCAACTGGAATTACTATAAGCTTTATAATCAGCAGCGTGCAGAGATTTACCTCTGAGTTGCAGGCCAGAGACTTCCTCAGCTTTTTCTACAGGGTGGAACAATCAGTTCTTATGTAATCATCGCTTGAGAGATTAAGGTAATTTAGGCTCCACACCCTTTGTCTCTTGAGTCATATGTCTCCTGGTGCTTCTTAGTCTCCCGGTTTAAGATGCTTTCAGGGAACTAAAGGCAGAGTTGGCTCAGAATCATTTTCATGGGAGACAAGACTCATCTGAACCAAAGCATGTGCTGACTCCAACTGCTGCTTTTAGTTTTCTTTTCTTTTCCTTTTTGTAATTTTACTTTTTTATTTTTTAGTCTTTTATAGGAAATAGATTTTTCTTCTCAAACAATATATCCTGTTTATAGTTTTCTCCCCTTCTACTGCTATCAGGATCTCCTCACCTCCCCACTCCTCAGGATCCATACCCTTTCTGTCTCTCATTAGTAAAGAACAACAAAACATGACAATAACAGCAACAACAAATAAAATGAAGCAAAAACTATCTTATGAAAGTTGGACACAGCAATGCAATGGGAGGAAAAGAACAGGCACAAGAGACAGAGATCCACTTGTTCTAACATTCAGAATCCCATAAAAGTATTAAGTGGACAGCTGTTTTATATATGCATATGTGTACATGCATACATACACACACACACATATATATGCATATGCACTACATATACATCATGTACATACATATATACATACATACGTACATACATACATACATATGTACATACGTACATACGTATATACATAAACATACATATATATCATCTCTGCATCTGTTTCCATCTTCTTCCTGGAGGAAGACTCTCTGATGACTGGCTAAGGTACTGGAGCCCTCACCTCTAGTCTCTTTGTTGAGGGGAGATACTCTGCAGACTACTGAAAGAAAAACATAGATACCAACCTAGCCACAAAAGATTTGACCTACCATCTGTCCTACCTATAAAATATGCTCAGGCGATAGTGGCACAAAAAGTACAGGAGTGGCCAACAAATGATTTGATCTAAGGTCCACTCCGCGATAAGGGGCCCATATCAGACACTGTAACCATGAACCAGAGACTAGACAGCCCAAAGATCTAAGGTAAAATCAGACACTATTGATCTATAAAAAATAAAAATTAACAAATGGTTCCTAATGGTACCTATACTTAATCTTCAGTTTTAAACACTCAGGCTTTGTTGGCCTTCAACTTGCTCCTTGTTTTCATTTCCTCTTACTCTATATCAGATTTCATTATAGAAATACAGTCTTCCCATAGTTATTCTGCGGAAGACTGGTGCACTGGAGACTGGGGTTTACCCTGGCTCCCAACTCTATATCCTCCTACCAGTAGGAACTAATATTTCCTAAGCTCACAAACCCCAGATACTGTGTGACCTGTGGTAGGATATACCTGGGACAACAACCCTGGAGGTGACAAATGAATCCAATGATACTCAAAGCGATAGGAAATGACAAAACTGCAGCTTTCTTCCACAGTTGGACTCAGAGAGCCAGTTTTCACCATTATAGTAAAAAATAAAATAAAGAAAAAAAAACCAGATAAGTGAAAGAGATTAGAAAGTTAAAGTTATGTCTTTCATCTTTTATTGCGTTATTCTTGGGTGACGCCCTGACTAGTACATATATTTAAATGACTTTTATTGAATGATACATTTTGATCAGAACCATATTTTTAATTTATAGTGTACCTAGTCAATAAAAACTCGTTATCAAATCTACATTCACTTCCAACTTTCATCTAAAATATCATTTGTCCCATCCACAGTACATAATGTAAAAAAGAATCTATTGCAACAAGGGGAAGGGCTCCATTTATGAATCTGTTAGCTGAACATAATTCAAGCATTGAATGGCAACCCTACCGAGAAACCTAAAGTTAAAGAACCAAAGATCACCTTAGAATATTTTTTTTCTCCTTCAGAATGTCCAAAAGCAAATAGAAAATAATGAAAGTCAGATTATAATCTGCCTAAATGTACTTGAGCCCTAGTTCTGTTGGGTTTCAAAATATGGAACATAGCCAGAAACTTACATGTGCAAAAAAATATTTATAAATATCATAAATATTTACAAAACCCCTAAGCATACTTGACCCGCTAGAGTATCAGAAACACCAACATGAAAGTCATCTATTCTAAAAGAATTCACAGATCAGCCTATTTCAATAGGTTATCATGTGGACCTCATTTGCATAACCCCATTTCACCTTCCAATAGCCCTCTGAGATAGGTGCTGCTAGTCCCATTTTTTCAGGTAAATGATAAGATGATGACCCAAACAAGGAGCTGTCCCAGTGACCTCCTAATGGGAGTGACCACTGCTGTATCTATTCTGATGGAAAGGAGATAGTGAATCAGATTGTCCTAGATGATATACCTAGAGTAATATGAGATTGTATATTAATACAAATTGGTTGTCCTACACTACGCTTTATGAAGTCATAAGAAAAATAAATAAAACACATACATCCTCTGTTGTCAGAGAAGCTCTAATCCAGGGGTTTTCCTAACCTGTGGGGTCCAATCCCTTTAGAGGCTGAACAATCTTTACACGTGGGTTGCATTTCAGATATCTTGCATATCTGTCCTGTCCAGCAGGGCATTAAACAGGGTCCAGAGAGATCACCTAAGAGAATGGGGGGAAAATAGGTGAACGCAAGGAAATATGGCTTGTCTATAGACTGATCAAACTACTATTTTTACTTTTACCCACAAGGGTTATATACACAAAAAGGCAGGATGTGGGGAAAGGGATGACGCAGGAGCGTAGGTGTTCAGGAAGAGTATAGATATCTGCCAGAACAGAGTGTCAGCTGGATGAAGGTTCAGGGGACAGGTCACTATGACTCCGCCTATGGTTCACTTGTCCTTATCTAAGTTGGTACTATCTACCAAGGTTACCCAAGGTCTATGACTATCCACAAAACCTATGACTTCTTGTTCTTATCCAGGCTGGTAAATTTCCACCAAAGCTGTCTGGTTACAGTATCTTATAGCTGTCTATTTCAGTGTTTTTCCACAGAGACCCAAGACTGTGCTAGCAGGCATGTGTGTCAGGCCTATTGCTGATTCTAGGCCTATGTCTGATTTAAGGCCTTCAGTGTGTAAGCAGGGCTGCCCCTGACACATATTTGATGTTTACATTTCAATTCATAACAGTAGCAAAATTATCAACCAGCAGCAACAATAATGGTTGGAGTCACCACAACATGAGAAATATGCCATACATTAGGAATGTTGAAAACCACTGCAGATCTTGCTACTTTCATGTCTGTCATCTTTATTAATATGAAATAACATCTTGGGGGAAGTTATTGTTATATTCTTCAATCCCACCCCTGGCTTCTTTCTCCTCTTTCATTCTTTACATTCAGGATGGCCTCTCCTCACCACACCCTTGGTAATGGCCCCTAGATAAGATGGGTTGCTGTGAAAGTACTAAATTTGAGATCTTAGAAGGTCTTGCAGTATGGCAGAAGCTTTAGTGGTCAATCTTAAGAGCATAACATTGTGGGATGGGCATTGTGTTGAATATGCTTAATCCAAGTATTGAGGAAGGCAGTAGCAGGTGGATTTCTGTGAGTTCAGGCCGTTTTTATCTACACAGATAATTCCAGGCCAGCCAGAGGTATATAGTAAAACCCTCTCTCAAAAGCACAAACAAAACCCCAAAAATACACAAATTGGTAGGAAAAGATAAAGTAATTCTTGTGTTCTCATAATTCTACAAGACTACTTTTAAAAGCCATCAGTTCTATGAAAAAGTCTGAAAGAAAAATATGAAGAACATCTTGGGGGGGGGGTGTTCAGGTTAATTTCTAGGACTACGCTTGTGCAATCAAATCCATGGGCAAGCTATGAGAGTCACAGTCATGGGCATTGAAAGTATATGTTTCAAAGTGAATTGAGAGACCCTCTTTTGTTTGCTTCCTGTTTCAGACCAAGATCTACGCTCTCACCGCTATCACCGTCAAGATTCTTTAACCCCTTTGTAGTAGCTCTCGTTGTCATAACATCGGTGGGGCTCCTGGCCATGATGGCAGGACTACTTATTCACTTTTTAGCTTTTGGTAAGTATTTCTCAGGTTAAATAATTAAATATGCTCTCAGGTTAAAAATGTATACTTTCCTCTTATGGCCATATTCGTTTATGAACATGAGTTAATATTGCTTAGAATTCTTCTCTATATAGATATTCATATATATCCATATTTCTTTTCAATGACCATTTTAAGATTTTGTTTGGTTATTTGGGGCAGTGCTTTGGCTTCTTAATGTATAAAATCTCTTTGATTATATAAATTCTTTTTTTGCTGAAGGATGAACAACCATCTATTATAAATATCTATTAATGGTTACTGAATGAGTAAACCAAGGGTATTTAGATGTGCTACTAATAAAAATTATTATATTTCTGTAAAACTTTGAAGGTACTGATAATACTAGTCTGATTTCTTTTACCTTAACAATCTTAGTTTTGTCAATCCTTTGAAAACCCAAGAGAAAATAATTGCATTATATGTATATTATATATATGGATTTTCCTTTCTTTTAAGGAATACTATTTTAATTGTATAACTTCTCATAATGCTGTACTAAATAAAAATTAATCCACGTGGTAACATTAGAGTAATCGTTTCCCTTTCTTCTCCAGACAAGAAAGCTTACTTTTATCATAGCACCTTTCAAATCCTAAATGTTGAATATACTGAAGCTTTAAACTCACCAGCTACGCACGAATACAGAACCCTGAGTGAAAGAATCGAGGCTATGGTATGTTAATACTTATTTCTTTAATGTTTTGTTGTATTTTTATCATTTTACTGAAAACCAAGGAGATTCTTCTCTCATGCAATACATCAGGAGAACAATTTCCCTCCCTCAACCCCTCCCAACCTTAACCTCACCTCTCCTCTTGCTCAACTACATTTTTTTCTCTGTTTCCTCTTCAGAAAAGAGAAATGAAGTTACACACAAATACATGCATACATACATACACGGAGGCACATGTGCAGTGCACATGCAGACCAGTGTTATAGTAGATAGACCTATGCCCACATACCTTATTTTCTTTCTTCCTTGAACACTGAGCTTTCTGAATATTTAAACTTCAAAAAAGTGGGATAATATGACACTAGACAGTAAAGAATACCACAAAACATCATCTCTACTACTAACCTCACAGATAACAGAAAGCACTGCAGCTGTCAGCTAATGTAGACTGGGAAAGGTGATTTATAGAACACACAAGCAGTTGCTACAGTGTTTCTGCTTAAAATGCAAAAGTGTGAGTATACTTTAATTCTATTCATAGTGCTTTTAAATGACCTACTAAAATGATATGTACAATGATGACCACTTATATTTTAATTTGTTAGAATTTACTTAAATGACATATAACTCATATTAGTCCTTAAAAATCATGAATGTGACTGGTGAGGAATCTAGAATATTCTATAATATGAAAGGATTGTTAGAACTGTCAATCATGAGGAAAACACAAAATCCTTTCTTCTTCCTTGTTTACTTGGTTTTCCCCAATGTGATAAAAATATCAATAAAACATGTTGTAAAACCCAATGAATATAAAAATGAATTCATTTGAATAGTCTGATAACTTGAGCAGTTACAATCCAAGCATTTAATAAACATAGTTCTGAAAAACTGGCTTCAAATCCTAGAATAATATAATTTTCAGCACGTGCCTAATTCCTCATTTCTACATTCTCGTGTTGACATACACAAGGGCACAGCCTCACGTTATACATGAAAGCAATCTATTCTCTATTTTGAAACTACAATGTACCTGAGCCTGCACTACAGAAGAACTCTGATATAGTACATTGCTTTCCCCTCCCCTTCAGATATTTCATCACTAATCATTCTAATTAGCTTTACCCATTTAAAACATAGTCATTGTATACCACACACATATCAGAAGTTGTATGAAAGGATTTCCCTAGTGACTTGAGTCTGATTCCTAACTACCTGACTCACAGATATCAAATCATGTATCATGAGTGACTTGTATTAAAGGCTTCCCCCTTCCAGATCATCTGTGCTTAATAGCTGCAAAATAGAAACTGCATCCGAATATTACACCATCTGCCTGTATTGGTCCTATGCTATCTGGGACAAGATGGAGCTGACGTTACCTGATAGGTTTCTACTTCTCATCATATAAGCCCCATGTTGCAGATATTAAAATGGAATGAGGAGCCTGAAATTACAGTGAGATTATTTTCCCATTTTCTTTCTCCAGATTACTGGTGCATTTCGAGGATCAAATCTAAGAAGTGAGTTTATCAGGACCCATGTTGTCAAACTGAGGTAAGTGAAACCTTACCAAAAACTATATTTGCAAAGATGTAATTTAGAATATTTGACTTCCGTTTGCACTGTGGCTGTTAAGTGACATGTTCATGTAATTGTTCTAATAAAACAAAAATATGAGAAAATGAAGCAGCTTAAAAGACAAAGTAAAATGCTGTATTTATTCTGCCAGTGATATAAATAACCATATCACTTCATTCTTAATGGGAGAAAGAAAAGGTGCAGGAAAAGCTGATATGTGTAAATCCACTAGATATCATAGTGCAGTCTATGTAAACAGTGTCTTCTTGAATGGCACAATACTTGGGATATATTTATCCAAGATCAGTACAACTTGCCAACACTAAAAGTAAGTTTTTGGCTTCCCAGAATATCATAATAAAAGGAAGATATTGTAGCAAACTCCATGACAAGTCTGTCATGCACTAATAACAGGAATGGCTGGATGCAGGCTTTGTGGGAATCTGCTACTTGTGCCTTAGTTACTATGTAAGTATCCATGTGGTGTGATAAAACAGGCTTTCCCAACGAAAATAGTCACACTGAGTAATAGCTCCAGAACTGTCTTCAATGCCCACATTGCTCAGTTCTTCAAATGACAATGTGAAAACTCATTAATATGCAGAGATATCATGAATTTATTCTCAAGTATTGTTAACATCATCAAAAGAAGCAAAGTGATGGTTAAATTTAGTTTTAATTAATTAAAGAACAAGGAAAACCCTATGGGAAGAATACAGACACATTTCTACCTGCTCAATGTGCATTCCTTTGGATGCCTTGTGTTTGTACCAGCTGTTAACGCTCAGAGTTTTAAGCCAACAGTGGAGGAGTAGATAGAAAAATCCTTTCCTTTCCTTTCCTTTCCTTCCATTAACTTCTCACTTGCCACTAATCCACTGTTGTCTGACTTCTAGCCACACTCCAAAGTGTGAGGAAGCCAATTTCATCAACAGCATCCAAATCCTGAAATCCAGGGAAATCACTTAACTTGTACTCTTGAACCTCTGCGCACCATTTGGCACCGTTGCCTTGTTGATGAAATATCATCCTCTGGCTCTTAAGACTCTACATAGCCATGACTTTCCTGTTATCTATGCAGATATCCTCTCTTTTTCTTTTGCTAGCTGTGGTATGTGCCTCACATGTTGAATGTGAGTGTGCACTGTCATGGTCTCTGCTCTCACTGGCTTTAGGTCCTCTGTTGATTATCTGTTGATTAGTCTTGAACTTGTATCTCTGACATGATCCAACCATATTTTTCACCTACAGATATGAACAAATGTAATGATATTTTTAGATAGCATTAATATACAGAGATCCGTACCTGTCTAATCATCTCAATCAAGCCCTTTAGTCCACTAGCATTGTCCATCCCAGTGTTTGGCATCACCAGCAACCAGAGTTTGCTTATGAAAGAAATCTGGGAGCCATCTTAGATTCTTGACTCTCCCTCAGGTCCACATAACCAGTTGCCTAGTCTTCAAGTTTGATTACTGCAATATCTCCCAACTGCATAGCTTTTAACGTAATGCAACAATCCTTCTCTATATTGGACTGTAACAGTCTCCAAATGCATCTTGCTCCACTGAATACATCAAACGTAAACATTGTTTGAAGGAAAAATCCAAGCATACTATTGACTTAATTAAAGCATTCTAATGTCAATACTTACCATTATTATATATGAGAAGTTTAATGTATTATGTTTATATTTATTTACTTATAGATATGCATATTTATTTGTTTATTATATAAGTAAACACATAAATATAAATATTTGAATATTTAAATAAAATAATGTTAAAACGCAATAGATATGTAGGTATATATCTATAAATGGATCCTGATACAAATATATACAAATTATACATACAAACATAGTAGACGTATATCTTAGATGTACATATTTATCAAGAATATGTATATCAAAAGGTAATTAAATTTTTCTTCCTAGTTTTAAGAATTCCAGAGCATTCAAGGCTAAAGGTAAAGGACTCTACCACAGTCACCTTGTACTTAGTATAGAATTATTAAAGTGGCAAATAGTGGTTTCAAGTTTAAGTGCCAAAGACAGGAGTTATTTGGAGGTGAGGACTCTGGATAGTGTATTTTCATTTGAAAACCATGCTTAATGGTTTGTGGTTTTCTATCATCACAAATTTTGCTACCCCTAGGAGTGATGTTCTCCAAGAACAAAATGTTTTAAAATGCTAAGCCATCAGAACACAGGTAATAAGCAACACGCTTAACGTACCTCATTTAGCCGTGTCTTACTTGTGTTTAAAATCTCAGATGGACCTTCACTGCTCCTTCCCCCAAGATATTTTAGTAAATTACATAAAATAGTTAGTTATTCAGTGCCCGTAGCAACCATTCATATTTATCAAATTCAACATTTTACTACCTTTTTCCAGAAATCAAAACCTACCAATGTGGTTTAAATCTCAGTTGTACTCCACTCACCGCCAACACTGTTGCTTCTGTTCACCGTAGTTCTCATTGGTTAAATGACTGTTTCAGAAGTGCCTACCATGTAGCTGACACTAGATTTGGTTCTAAGTATAGAAGGTGCATTTAGCAAAGAACAAAACTGGGTTTCAATTTTGATGGGGAATGCATTCCAGGGAGGGAGGTCAGATGATAAGGAAGAACACAAAAGGACAGATGTGGCTCAGATGTAATATGTTTCACAGAGAAAAACAACCAGTTCAGGGCTGAAGATTGTATGAGACTGAGAAGCCTTCTATGATGAAATAATATTTGAGCATAAACACAGAAACAATAAAGATGAACTTTGAGAATAACAAACCTTTCACATGGTAACATGTATGGAGTCAACAAACAGAAAGGATGCCTATGAGGGTACAATAGAATTAAAGGTGGTCAGAAATATAGACAGAAACAAAATCATATAGATTTTGTTGGACATGATAAAGGTTTGGAGTGTTTATTCTGAATGACATAGGAAGTCATTGCAAAGAAATGGCATGGTGAAAAGATTTTAAAGGATCACAAGTGGGGAGATAGCGCAGGTGGTAAACTGATTGCCACGCAAGTATGAGAACCTGAGTTTGATTTCCTAGAATTCATGTGTGTGTTTTTTTTTTAATGGGCATGGTGTCAAATCCTTATAATCCCAGGATGGGAAGGAAGAGACAGAAGGATCCTTGGGGCTCAGTGACCAATCAGTGTAGCCTGCTCATTCTAGGTATACCATGCCAATGAGAGACACTGTTTCAAACACTAAAGTAGATGGCTCCAACAATAGCTGAGGTGGACATCTGGCATCCACATATGCATATACCCACCCAAATGAACACACACGGATGTTTTAAAGGATCCCTACACTATAAGATGGAACACAGAGAGGAGGACCAGCACTGACAGCAGGAAGCCCCTGAGGAGTAAGATCAATAAAAATGCAAATGTTACAGGCCTGAGTAAGATCATAGAGGATATAGAAAAGTAGTGTGATTCCAGGTGAGCCCTTCAAATGGTATTGGCAAGACTGGATACTGAAGGGAAAAGATTTTCATTCTTGTGAATGCTCCTATAGATTGATGACACAAATGTATCCATAATTGATAGATAGAAGGGTTCTAAATGTTTTCCAACATTTATCTGTTGCTTTATCTGTTGTTAGACTCTATAACATCTTCATAGCCACCTTTTCTGTTAACTGAATTTCTTTAGATTTGACCAACATCCTTTCTATCTGCAAAGCTTTACCTGGTCTTTTTGTTAGTTTGTTTGCTCTTTTTTTGCTTTGTTGAGATAAAGTCTTACTGTTAAAGCCCAGGATGGCCTCAGGCTAATTCAATTCTCCTGCCTTATATGAAGGTTGATTTCAAACATGAACTACAACATCCCACTTATCTGATTTTTTGAAGGGGTAAAATCCTATATTTTTCTTATATTTATAATTTCTTCTTGAATATTAATCACTTCAAATATTCTGTGTAGAGCCTTTCAAGGGGTTCTTGTTTTCCTTTTTTGTTTTAGCTTGGGAATACCTTAAAGAGTAATAAGAGAATAAATAGCTAGCATCAACACAAATGCAAATATCATAAAGCCAGTCTCATTTTTTTTCAAATTATATAGAAAAATCTTTAAAACCCATTCATAATTGAGCCTTGGAAAGAGATTAAACTTTTCTTTATGAGGAGTAGGGTTTTTTCCCTCCTTAATTCACGTTTACATTGGAGTTCAATTGTTTGAAAAAATCAATGCTAACTCCTGTTTTGCATTCACCTAGACCTCACCTCGGTTGTTATAAATTTGTTAAGTGGAAGCCTACTAAATATTTTAGCATATAGAACTTAATAAATTGGCTTTGGTCACTAGAGTTTTTCCTCACTATCATGCAGGTTCAGTTTTGAATCTGAAATAGAATTTATACCATTTTATCTAATATTTGTACAATATTTCAAAATTGCTTAGATTTAACTTCACATAAGTTTTAATTGTTTAGTGTCTGATGCTCTATTTAAACCGCCCAACCCTGAGAGTGAGTTCAGTGAAATTATATCATATCTAATTTATTGAAACTTAGAGTAGTATTAAGTGCCATAAAATGTTTTGTACATGTTCTAAAAGGTACTAAATTCATTCCTGGGACAGATAATAAGTCTACCATTTGTACTGGCAGTTGAGTTGGAAGGAGGAAACCAAGAAGTATATGAGAAACATCAAGACAAATTTGCCTAGCGCACTTTTTCAAAACAAGAAACAAACTGTCCCAGTGAGGGTTACTATTGTTGTGCTGAAACACAATCACCAAAAGTAGCCTGGGGAGGAAAGGGTTTATCTGGCTTATACTTCACATCACAGTTCACCATTGAAGGAATCCAGGACAGGAATGCAAACAGGAGACAGGTGCTGATGCAGAGAACATGGAAAGATATGGCTTACTAGCTTGTCTTTCATTGCTTGCTCACCCTGCTTTCTTACAGTCTCAGACACCAAGCCAGGGGTGCTATCACCTACAATAGGCTAGATCTTCTCCCATTAATCACTCATTAAGAAAATATTCTACAGGCTTACCTAAAGCCTATCTTATTGAGGCATTTTCTCAATCAAAATTCCCTTCTCTTAGATGACTATAGCTTGGCTCAAGTTGATATAATGCTAGACATTACACAAATCCATACCAGTTTGGAGGCGGTGTCTCATGATGCTAATTATCTGTAACTAAGGACACAATGAAGCCATAAAACTGGACCACTCTGTGGGCAGAAAGAAAGGTTTTGGGGGATAAGATCAAACTGTCAAATGTGTCTGGGAGACAAAGTACAGGATCTTGTCAGGAAAACAATCCAGTTTTATTTGATAGTCAGTGAGACTTTGAGTCACTGAGTCTTTGAGCATTTGGATTAACTGAGAAGTAGATGACCTTGTCAAAGATAGTTGACCTTTGGGGTAGATAAAGGAGGTAGTGGTTTTCCTGGTAAACACAAATCTACCTTACAAAATTCCTGAGGATTGCTAGACTTAGGATTCTGTTTATCCAATAACTTTACCTTTACCTAGTCAGGGTCCCTCTGTTTAGGATAGTTTCAGCATTGCTGTCATATTGGATGTCCACTTCATAACTAACATTATTGACATGAAATAGAGTAGAATTTATCTAGATTTTTATAACATCAAGTCCATTGTGAGGAATGTGTCTCTGTGGTCAACCAAGACATAAATAACATATTAATATATTGACTACAAACTTGTTGTCATTGTTGGATCAATAGGTCTGTGTAACAGACAATTAACTTGATGCTATAACTCACACAAATTTGGAACCTCATCAAGTTTTAACTTTGTTTAAGACAGTAAATATTTTTCAATTTAAGGCTAATATTAGTTACAGTGCACTTAGTGTTTTCCATGCATTTTTTCAAAAGTTCTACATCAATTTATGTAAATAATCTTCATGAAAACCCATTTAAAACACTAAGATTAAGAAATTTAAATAGTTTACCAAAAGTCTCCTGGTGACAGCATTCTGGCTTCAAACCCAGCTGTGTGTACTGTAGGCTGATTGCAGTGAGTTCTGTTAAAATCAAATTTGAGAGATAGCAGTTTGATAAATCATTGTGTGTGCACTATTATGCAAATATGTTCTCATATGGATTCTTTTAAAACAGTTTAATCAAGAAGAGTATATAAACAGTAGAAAATTACCCAATGGATCTGTTTCATATGACTTGCAGAAAAGAAGGGAGTAGTGTGATGGCCGATGTTGTCATGAAATTCCGATCCAGTAAACGTAACAACAAAAGATCAATGAAAAACAGAATACAGTCTGTGCTACAAAGGCTCAGCAGCTCAGGAAACTTGGAAATAGCTCCTTCGAATGAGATAACGTGTAAGTACCATGTTTTATGCCCTTTTATTTTAATACGTCTTCAAGGTCACTCATTCAAATTCACATATTAAAAAAGAGACTCACCTTACTCTTTGTCACTGAGCTTTCAAAAGTGTATTACAATTCTAAATATAATAGATAGTTCTCTAATACAGAGCATGCAGAATTTTTTTTTTACTTTTTACTAGTTATAATTGCTTTAAAGATTTGATTTTCTTCTTAGAAGTAGTAATTTCAACATGGAAAGAGATCAATTTCCTAGTGTCCACACCAAGGCTTAACTTGTTTTAGCATGCCTTTTCTATTCTCTTTTGAGTCCTACATAGAATGAGAGGGCATGACAAAGAAAACTTGTTCATTTTCTTTCTGAAATTGATATGGTAGTTCTTTAAGGCTGTGTCAATAGCAGTGAACTTAAGAGGTTGGAATCTAAAAGAACTTAAGGCTTCACTTGATCCTTGTAAAAATTGGAACCATAATTCCTGAGTGATGTCTCCAACCTGCTTAAGAAAAATGTGAACATGCCCTTTTACTATTTTAATTCTATAAAACTTATTATGAAAAAAAAAAGTGCAGGTATCACTTTGAGAAGTGATTTTGATTCCTTTAGATATTTACCCAGCAGAAGATAGCTGAATCATATGATAGCCCTATTTTTAGTCTTTCCTTCTTAACAATCTTCAGACTATTTCCCATAACAGCAATGATAATTAACAGATCAGTTTTGTTTACACTGTTTCCCTATCACCCAGAATCTGATATGTAATACTCAATAAATGTTACATGATCAAAATAAATGAACTATGTAATAGCAGACATCTCTTTGGTTCTGCACTACTTGCTGTCAGAAGTCATGACTTTATATTGAGCTCAAATTCAAAAGGGTTTCCATAGCTCCAACCCTGGTCTAGCACATACCTGTTGCAACAGTACTACTTGTTAAAGTTAGAAGACTTACTTAATGGTAAATAATGACTGCATTAGACTGACAAGGATAGGTCCTCAAAGTTCTCTGAATGCCTCTATTTCCCTTCCTTGAACTCTCTTCCACCTTCCAACTAATGAGTCAATGTTTAACTCAGTAAAGTACTCCTAGTCCAGATGTTCTTGACCTGTGGGCAGGCATCCCTGTGGAGCTCCAATGCTCTTTTCATAGACGTTGCCTAAGACCATCAAAAAACACAGATATTTACAGCATGACTCATAAAAGTAGGGAAAAGGGTCACAGCATTAGTTGAGAACTACTGCCTTAGATACTGCTCCAACTCCATGGTTTCACTGTTTCTGACTGTAGTTACCCATATACCAGGTCTAAGTAAGAAAACACTACCTCTTCTCCTACACATTAAGGGATACTTCCAAAGAGCTTCTTGGGTATTTATTTATTTGGCAGTGTGCTGAGAAATTTTGCAAATCGATATCAGTTTCTACCTCCCAGAAACTCTTGGACAAGTTGAAGGGAAAAGAAGGAATGAAGGAAGGAAGGAAAGGAGGGATGGAGGGAGGAAAAAATCTAACTGTAAGATAATAAATGACAATCAAAGAGTAGATATACAGAGTCAGGATACAGTTGAGTGCATTTCTATAGTATGTATAAAGCCCTGGGTTTTTTTTTTTTTTCAAAACATGAAAAAAAATCCAACAAGAGAAAGAATCCATCAGATGAAGTCTACCCGGTGTAAAGATAGTGACTGCTATAGGGATCCAGAATGAAAGAGATTAGAGGGCAGATGGACTCACAGACATGAGAAGGATCTGCACATCCTAAGATATGGAAAGAAGAGACTTGGCCTGAGAAAGAGAGAAATGAAAAAGCAAGTCCAAGTCCTCTAATAGTCATAATGCTTTGAAAGAACAATGGAACAAGGAGCTGACGGGTGTCCTATAGATACATTTGCTGCCTCCATTAGGGACCAGAGTCAGAGAGTTACTGTGTTGGCAGTTAGGATTAAAACTCAAGTGTTTGCTGTTCAAAGAAGGAAGAAAGGCTATCAGTTGTTTTTGCTTGTTTTTCCTGCTTCCACCAGGATAACTTGACCCTACTGATGCTGACAAAAGCAGATGAAGCACACAAACCTTATGAAACTTCAAGCTGGAAATGATTTTTGCATAAGCCAGTTTTAGAGACCGTGAAAACCTGTCTTAGGAAGTTTGGTTTCATCTTATTGAAAATAAGAAGAGTAGCCAATAAAAAATTTTAAAGTCTGAAAGAATGTAATCTGACATAGTTTCAGAAAGTATTGGTCCTATAAAGTCACAATGTGGAAGTCAGTTTGAGGGTATTATAACTGTACAAATGTCAAGCAGCCAGAGGAGGGAGCAAGAAAGAGGATGAGGTTCATTCGAAGGGATGAGAATGAGAGAAGGAAGCTTTTCATCCCTTTCTAACTGCCTATAGATATGGTATCTCTTCCTAAGGGAGGAAACATAAGTACCATGCTTTTTGATAAAGCTTGTTCATGCAAAGGTTGAGAGTACTATTAGACCTGCCTTAGAAACCATTGTGAATGCAGACTGGATGTAAGATACACGGACAGTTGCTATGTGATGCTTACATTGTTGGCTTTTCTGGCACTCCCAACAACCCTACTACTGACTATTTCATAACGCACATCCTTCATCCGGGAACACAGATGCTATTTTACCTTCCACTTACAGCGTCCTTTCCCTTCTTTTCTTCATGAACCATTCCTTAGAGTTTCAAATAGTGCAAATGGTATGTCCTTCATGATGGTATTGGTCACCCTCTTTGTATTATTATCCTTTTCTCCACATAAGTTTTCATTTGAATAATATTTTGGTTAACATCCATCTGTAAGTGATGTGTTAAGAGAACCTTGGTTTTTGTTTACTATTGAAGAAAGAGCACATAATTTGGCAATACTAAAGTAATAAAAAAAACCACATATACCAATGTCTACTCACAGATGTAGTTGAAATGTGAACAATTGGCTTCTATCACATATCACGCTGTACCCTAATGACTGCTTAAGCCTTCTTTTGCCAAGAGATAGGAATGACTTTTGGAGCAGAAAAGTCTGTTAGGTATTTCATGAAACATATAAGCACAAACTTCCAACAGTTTGAGTGCAACAACACACTGGGTTAAAGTTACAAAGAAAGCTTTCTAGGGCACATGACTCAGGTTATTTCCAAAAGCGTGAGGTGGAGCCTGGGAATCTGAATTTTGGCAAACCCTCCCAGTGACCTTGTCTCTGGCTGTTTCAGCTCTGGGCTTCATGAAATCGAGGTGAAATGATTTTCAGCCTCTGTTTTGTCGATCTTATTCTCATCTTTTCTTTCTTAACACTAGCTCTCACTGACCAGGATACAGAAAATGTTTTGACTCAAGGTAAGTTTTTAAATTATTTTGTTATTTTAAATTATTTATTGAATTATAAGGATTTTAAGTATAAGTCTTTAGAGCTCCTTGACAGGCCCATATTGGTCAAGTTAGTGCCTTCTGAGATCACTCTGGAGGGTTCTTGATGGAAGCAGGCATGGGATTTCACCCTGGTTGATGGAACAATGTTTAAGCAACTCCTCCTCCTGGGGGAAAAATGGAACTGTAGTGAAGGGCTATACACTTGGCACTCAACACCAAGCTCCTGACAATTTTCCTGGATGTTCTGGAAAGCTTTGTGCCTGTGGTTCTAAAGCAATGCTTCTGAAGACTTGTAAATTACATTGGATGACAAAATTCATGTAGCTTTTGCAAACCAGCAAAATGGCTTGCTTTGTTGTGGATTTGGGTTAATCATAGGTAATAAATTATAGATGTCTTGTCAGTTGGAGGCCTATAACCTGAAGGGAAAGTCATTGTATGCCAATGTCACCCCAGATGTATTCTCAGGCTAGGAGGACAGGAATAGAATTCCTAGAAACATGAACTTTGCCTCTCAGATCAGCTGAATGTACTTAGAAGTTAGTTCCAGGTACTTGGATTTCCGATTTATTTTAGATACTTAAGAGGTTTTTTTAGTGAGACTCCACTGCACGATATTTTTCAATTCAGTTCTGTGTTTAATCTATGATTACGTTGAATAAAATTGTAATAAACTAATTACTGAAGAATTTATTTGGAGAAAGCAGGAAAGGAACCCATAGACATGTATGTTCTTAATGGAAGTCTAGTCAAACTTCTTATACTGGGAAATTTGTAAGAATGCAAATGCTTAGTGTTAGCAACTTATTTCCAATACCAATAGAAATTATTATTTGTGATATACCTCGAGTATCACTAATAAATATTAAACTAAGCATTAGAAAAGCTATCATAAGATTTTGGGTTGAGAAGAACTGAGCAAATGAATCCACGCCTGTCCGTTTCACCTCTTGCATTAAAATGTTCGTAGGTTTCTTAAGATATTTAAATGCAGTTTTGTGATGAAGAATGATGGAGAATCTCCTCAGTAATTTTCTAAATGGAAACAACCACCAGCTTGCCAGCATGTTAATACCTTTATGTTGTTGACAATGACATTGTTGTTGCTAGAATGTGGAGCACGCCCAGACCTTATAACACTGTCAGAAGAGAGGATCATTGGAGGCACTCAGGCTGAGACAGGCGACTGGCCCTGGCAAGTCAGTCTACAGCTCAATAATGTCCACCACTGTGGAGGTACCCTGATCAGTAACTTGTGGGTCCTGTCAGCAGCTCATTGCTTCAGAAGGTGAGGTCACAACTACTCTTCCATCTGGGAATAATTGAGAAAGAAAGATACATGAAGACTCCACCCATCACACTTATGACTAAATATAATTGGATATTGACACCGGAATAATTCAATGCAAAATCTTTCTGAGTCTTTTCTTTTCTTATTCATGGAAACATAATTGTCTTTTCCCCTTTAGCTCAATGGTTTGCTGGTAGTTCTCTGTTTCACATCGCAGTACTCTGACATAGCAAAGGGGGAAAAGGATCATATCCTAGAGCGCTTAATTTAAATATTTTTATAAAAGTTTTTGGAATTTACACAACTTCCGTTCCCAAATTAGTAGCAATACTATTATATAAGTGGTAATGTTACAGGCAGGACAGATTACAGTAATGAAAAAAATATTTGATTGTTGTTATCTAGGCTGGAGAGATGGTTAATTGTTAAGAGCACTAGTTGCTTGTTCAGAGAATTCAGGTTCCGTTTTCAGCATCCATATGCTGACTCTCGTTCCAGAGCGTCCAACACCCTTTTCCTACCTCTTGCAGGCATCAGACATATAGGCGGTGCACATACAAACATTCAGGCAAAACACTCGTACACGCCAAATTAAATAAACAAAATGAATTTCTATTTTAATTTTTTCATTAATAAAGGGTTTTCACATTACATCATAGAAGGTAATTAGTAGACTGATAGTCAATTTAGAGACTGAAAAATCTCACTCATCTAATTTTCCAAAATCGATTTAGTACCTATATTGAACACAGTATTATACATCATAGAAGCACCAAATACAAACGCACAGCGCCACCACCTTCAGGGTGCTTATATTAGATCATTTACAATTAGTCATTAAGAGTGACTACAGGCTACTACTTACACTAGGGTAAGGGATCGCTGGAGGGAACCTGTGCAAACTTACTCTATTGGTATGAGGTGAAGGTCACTGCTCCTAAGAGAAGGATTTTTTAGTTCAACATGATGAAAGCCTTCTAGACTCAGGCATATGTTGGTACTGGGTGTCCAAGGCTTAAATGTTTGAGGCAAATTACTCCTAACTGGGTATCCTTGTCTGGCCTCAGAGGGAGAGGATGTACCTCGTCCTGCAGTTAGTTGATATGCCAGGATAAGGTGATACCCAAGGGATACATCTCCTTCTCCAAGGAGAAGGAAGGGGGGAATGGGGCGAGGATTTGTGTGAGAGGGGATACCTGGAGAGGGGCACTGATATTGAGATGTAAAGCAAATAAAAAATAGTTAAATTTTTAAAAATTGGGGGGAAACTAAAATCACCCAGAAAAGTAAACTCCAGTGGACCCCTAACCATATCTACTCTCTTCTCAGTCTTTTTCCATCAGTAGAAAACAGTATCCTTAGCATAGATTCCAATCTACCCTCAGGCAAATAAACCCAATCTCATTTCCCAGAGTGTGAAACCTGCACTTCAGAGCCAAGGCATTTTTCTCATCTGGTTCTTTGTACATTTTCCTGTCTATGACACTTCTCAAACTGCCATTTTCTCCAGAAATGGTATCCTTTCTGATTCCCAATTTGCTTATACTGGGGTTCTTTAAGATATTCCCAATTCCGAAGAAACACTATCAAGCTCTGAGAAAGCTGTCTGTCATTGCAGCGCTCTTCACAAAACCATTTACTGTCTGAAGGCAGACTAAGCATGAAAACAACTGGGCTGCAACCTCTGAACAAAGGATCTAGGAAACCACCCGGTTTTCTCTGTAATTTTTCTGCTGCTGTTTTATAACTCAGTGTTGCTAAACAAATTTGAAATTTATTTGCGGCATCCTAAAATCATGGGATTCTGCTTTAATCAGGTATAGTTTCTGGTGCATTTCAGGTAACACAATAAAATAATTCACAAGACCATTTCAATCATCAGTGTCATTTGAAATGCTGAACAGTAAGACTGACACTATTGGCTTTCAGCCACGCCCTTAGTGTGGAAACCGAACGTCTGACGTCTGGACTCAGCAGGCATTTAATATAATTAAGGATGCAACAGAAACGGAATTAGATCTGCATGGTAACAGAACCTAGTTATCAAAGCTGAGGACAGGGTAACACTATCATGAAAGATATAATCCCAAGTATCACTAACGATCACCAAAGAAATGCAGGCAACATCTTTTGATTTTGCCACCACAAAACTATTCATCACCTCGATGGGCCGATTAGAGCTGAAAAACTTTATGAACCATGTACTGGTTCCCTCGGTAACGGCCTGATCATCACTGAGAACCACGAGCAGGAACTTACCGAGGACTTGCCAACCTTACATCCGGGTAGACAGAAGTGATGAGGCTCTGATGAAGATTAGTCTGTTGTCATCTCCTCGATGGAGCTTTTATGGTAATTTCTTACTTGTCCCAGTATTATTTTTTGTTGTTGTTGTTTTCTCATAGTTCACTTGTCTCTTTGAGTGGTGTATTGAATGTCAAAAGTATAGAGATCGTAATTACTTAGGCTTTAATCCAAAGACTTTCATTATACAAACTAGACAGCCTCAGCTGAGCTACAAATGGAGAGATTTACAACTATAGTGACAGCCTGCTTGGTTCCAAGCGCCATGCTTGACACGCTTCTGTTTCATTAGTCCTTCGTAGTCAATCACATTTTATACATAAACTAGGGGTGGCACATTTGTATGCATCCCTTTAGGGTTTGGCATAATTATAATGATGCTAACGTGGCAGAGATAAGATTTATCTGGAGTTCAAGATAACCCTCAGCCATCTAAGAAAGATTGGGCTATGTGAGATTATCTCAAAATTCAAATATTAAGCATTACCAATACTTTCTCGTGGTTTCACATTTACAGGATAAACTTGTGTATGTTGTATTTAATTTTGATTTACTAAAACTTAACCAATTTTTACCTTACATGTGTCTGTTTAGGGTGTACCCAAAGCATCCTATAGTCCCAAGTTACAATACTAATTTCCTATATTTTTATGTTACAGAATTATCTCTCTATACATATGTCCATATTTACATTCACACATACAATATATATACATGTACATATATAGAGACAGACATCAAATTTAGTACAGAAAAATTATTCATGTATCAACAAGAAAGATAGCCTTCAACCTCACTACTCTTTGAATGGATCTTTCTTCTCAAAACAACAACAACAATGGAACAAGTTAAAATAGAAAAGATAATTATTTCAGAATTCTTTGATGCATTGACAGGAATATCAAGGAAGGAGAAGAAACAATAGCATTCCTCTTTACTCGTTGTCATTCACATGTTAGGATACACTCACTGGGAAAGAAAAAAGATCAAATTATTATTTGAAGACATCTTTTTTCGGTATATTTAGAATAAAATTACTAGGCTGCTAGTAAAGAATTCAGTACAATTGTGAGATTACAGTTTGGGGAAATATTAATGAGATGTTGGTGGTAAATACAAAACACATTACATTAAATTCTCAAAGAATAATATTATTCAAATAAAACCCAAAGTACAGATATATGAAATGATGTTGAATTCCCTATTTAATAGCACGTTTTTGTCTTTTTGTTTTATTTTATGTTGCTTTTAGCTACTCAAATCCTCAAGAATGGACAGCCACCTTTGGTGTTTCTACAATAAGTCCTAGGATAAGAGTGAGAGTAAGGGCTATTTTAGCCCATGACGGGTACAGCTCTGAAACTCGTGACAATGATATTGCAGTTGTGCAACTTGACAGACCTGTCACCTTTAGCAGAAATATCCATAGGATATGTCTCCCAGCAGCAACCCAAAGTATTTTACCTGGTTCTGTCGCATATGTCACAGGATGGGGATCTCTTACTTACGGAGGTAAGTGTCTCTGGAAAATGAAACAGTTCAACAACAAATCCTCTGTTATTTGTTTTTATGTATATGGTTTTCTTTTGTTGTTGACATAGGAACCCATTTAGAATCTACTATGTAGCCCAGGAAGGCCTCAAATTCATAATCCAGTTTAAATAATGGGGATATGGGCTTGCACCACTATGTCCAGTCTTATCAATTCTTAAATGAGGAAACAGCCTGAGGATAGCCTCTTGTAGAGAACCATCTACATCCTGGTCAGACCTGCTCTAGTTACAGCTGCTGCCTCAGCGATGCAAAACAAGCAACCCTTAGAAACCAAAGAGAATTCTAATATCATAACAGGGAAATGTGAAAGGAAGGAATGAAGAAAGTGTCGGGACTTTGACGTCAAGCTCAAGCACAAAGGAGATTTATTTATCCCGGGGAACAAAGAGTAAGAGATAAAGGAAAAGAGAAGGGGAAGGGAAGAAGTGAGGGGGGAAAGTGAGAGGGGGCAGGGGTATTTGTCCCAGAGGGACAAAGGACTGCCTCTGGATAGAAAGGAGACAAGAGTATTCTGTAGGCAAATGGTAGTTTATAAAGGTAAAAGGGGAAACCCCATCTTGGCATAAATTGGCTAACTTTGATTGTGCAAAAAAGAAGCTTTTGATTGTTGGGCTCCAATACTTTGATAGCGGACCTTGGTGGTCACCCTCAGGAGGAAGAAGTAGCTGATAAGGAAATGTACCTTAGTGGTTAGCTTTAGGAATGTAATCTAATGGATTTTAGCCAAGGCAGAGGGGAGGGGAGACGATAGAAAGGGCAAAGCCTGCCAGAGTCATGTGTGTACATGCTTATGCTGTCTAGAACCCCTTCAATAAGCCCCTTATTAATATAGAAAGTCTATACTTTCCTGTGAAGAAAAGGAGACTTAATATTAGGACCTGGGGTTTTAATAACCCTTAAGGTATGGCCTTTAAGTTTATTCTGGTATAAAATGAATCCTGCAGTCACAGCAAGTAACTTCATGTGTAGATAAAAATTGATCATGTTCCTTCATTGGATAAATAGAATGAGAATTAGAATAAACACAATTTAAAGGAAGAATTATGGGCAAGAAAAAAAGTAACTCTATTAAGTGGGAAATGGAAAAGAAACATTGGCAGTATCCTTGAACTATTACAACCACAGTAAGACATTTAAAAGAAAGTCTTAATTGTCACAGAAAATATTTCACTCTGTTCCTTTGAACCAAGTGACCTGAAATAATAGGTGACATTTATACCAATCATGGAAAACGGATAGTTCTGTTCTCGGGAAGCACTGATAGCATAGATTAGTTCTTTAACTTTAAAATCAGACTGATTTCTCTTTTGTTGCTAAACGTTCACTGATCTGTAGTTTTCTAATCCAAAATCCATCAGTGAACACATTAAAGAGGGTAAGTCAATTTTAACATAATTATTAGGTTTTTATTGTTGTTGTTGGGTTAGATTTGTTTACTTGTTTGGTTTTTAAAATAGAGTCTCACGGTATCCCAGGTTGGCCTCAAATTTACTATATAACTAAAGCTGGCCTTGAACTCCTCATGATTCTGCACTTACTTCCTACATACTGTGATTACAATCATGTGTCTCTACGCCCAATAATTTATGAACTCTGAGAGAATAAAAAAAAAAAAGTATGACAAACTCAAAAAGAAAAGAGAAATCTCATCTCCTCAAAGGAGTTATCCCTTCTCTCCTACAACAATCATGCTCAGATTTATCCTTGGGTGCATCTTCTGGTTCCATTCCTTCAAGATAGATAATGTTTAGAATATTCATGTTCATTCTCAAATTTGCTACAGAGTCATTGACTCATATTTTCTGAGGTCTGATTCCTTCCTGTTTTTCTACTGAATAGGCAACACCGTCGCAAATCTACAGCAAGGAGAGGTCAGAATAATAAGTTCGGAGGAATGCAATGAGCCAGCTGGTTACGGTGGAAGTGTCTTGCCAGGAATGCTCTGTGCTGGACTGCGTTCAGGGGCTGTGGATGCATGCCAGGTAACAACATTATCTATGTCGCCACTGAGAAGTTTATAGGCATTTTCAAACACATAACCCTATAACAGGCAGAAAGATAACAAGTTACAGCATACAGCTCTGCTCCTCAAAAAATTTATGCCTTTAAATTTAGAGATGAAATTCTGTTTTTAAATGTCATTTAGCATAAAAATACTAACTGTTAATTGTTATGGATGGTCAAACCAATATAATATAGCATGGTGGATACAATTAATGATAAAGTATTGTATGTTTCAAAATTTCTAGAGAGTAAATTTTGATATTCTTATCACAAGGAACAAGGTTAAGTTTTTGAAGCAGTAGAAGCCTTAGCCAGCTTGATTTTAGTATTCAATATTGTACCCATAAATTATAAAATCATTTCCTGTCTTATAAATGTATACAATAATCAACTCACAATGAAAACAGTCATTTAAAGTTCATAACATAATTATGTTTTAATTTATACTGTTTTACTTGTAAATACTCATCCTTAACCCAATTAATAAAAATAGTATAGCCTGTAAATTTTTAAATTAAATATCCAAAAAAAAACAAATAGTAAATGTATAATTGTCTCCTTATAGTAATGAGTATAAAATTTAATACTAAAGGCTTAATTAAATTAATGAAACTTAACAGGTTCCATTCCTTTATCTAAAATGAAACCAATGTAAACATAAGAACAAATAGTTCAGAAATTAAACATCATTATAAATACTCTAGTGTCTTAAGGAATCCACTTCTGTTTTCCTTGATGAATCATATGCCCCATAAAGCTTATTCTCCTCATTCAGTGCTATTAGCTTTTAATTTGGCATGCACAATTTTATAAAGGCAGTGGTACGTACAGAATACAAGAACCCAAACCAAATTTTTTTGTTTTTTAAATGATACATTTTTAACAATTTCAAGCAATAGTTTATCAAGAGACTGTCATTTATCCACTGGGATCTTTGTTCCCTTTATGTGAGATGTTCACACCTTCTGTAAAAACAAATTTTCAAGTATTATGAAAGTTTTCTAAAGATCTCATCAGTTAGATAATCACCGAAGCTACCAACTTCACAGCTACTGAAAATATTGATTACAACGGCTTGAGGAGATAAAATGTTCTTTTCATTTCACTCTGGCAAGCCATCCATCGACTTCTGCATATACACAGTCTGCCCTTCATTTCAGGCAGATGCATGACATCACTACTGTGAAATTTTTCCTGATCCACACCAGACCTCACTGACTGTATTTACAATACTCTAAACACACAGAGTTTCTGCCTCAAAAAATATAATAAGTGAATAATATTTTGCATAGAAGCTTACAAGATCAATTTCATACATTCTTTCAAAGATATATCTATTCTCATGTGTGGGAAACATTCTGTGTGCCAATGCAACTAGATGTTCCCTGACTCATCAGGTTTGAGAAAAAAGAAGGCAGGTTCAAAGGTCTGACACTAGACAGAGAAACTAACCATACGCTACGTAACACTCATGATTGCCATTTGCTTGTCCATGGTGGATAAGACACAATACAGAAAGCTTTGCCACTATAGCAAAAATACCATAAAAATGTGACAACAAAATACTGAGGACTAGTAAAATGCAGTGTGATGTCTCATCCAAAGGAATGGTACCAGCAGCTCCATGTAGCACTTGTCAAGCAAGTTGGTGATTCACATACTGGCCTTTCTCTCCATCTAAACCATTAATTAAATAGGTATGGAAAAACCTAACTACTATGAGCCATCCAATCAATGGCTAACTTTTCTAGACATACATTTGGTAATAATAGCTGGGTTTTATTAGTACTGACTATACGCCAAACTGTGTCCAGAGTGCTTTGTGTGTTAAGCTCATTAACATGAAAAAAAATTCATTTATTGATAAGAGAATTTCAGCACAGATTTATACCTGATAGGTGGAAAACTCAAACTCAGCCTACTTAGCTCCAGAATTCACAGAATTAACCCATAATACAGTATATTCTAAAGGAATCTCTCTAATTGGATGATGGTAATGTTTCTAGGCTGTTAGTTATTGCCATTGGCTGGTAAATAACTCATAAGAAAGGTTCTACCTACTGTCGTAAAAATTTCTTTTCAACTATACACAAAAAGAATCGAGGTGGGTGATTTACTATGCATCAGGCCTCATACCAGGTGATAAAGAAAGGTTGGTGATACATCTAAAGACTCCTTCATTCAAAAGCTATTTCCTTAGCATCTTCTATGAGCTAGAAACCAAGGTTGTGGCAGTGTCCAGAAGAAAGGTGTTCCCTTCCCTCATAAATTTTACTACAGGACTGCTAACACTGACACTGGCCAAGTACCAAAATACAGGGAGTGCTAATACAAGAAAATCTGTCCAAGAAGAATAAGCAGGACCTTTTTAGAAGCAGAGCTATAGACCCCACAACACAGGCCATCATAGGAAGAAACCAATCGGGCCCGAAGCCAGAAGCACAGAGGAAAGAAGATGTCATAGAAACCTTCCTATGGGGAGGCCTGAGAAGACTAGGAAGCAACAAGAAAGTAACTGAAGAAAGGCTTGGTCCAGAGCGTTATAGTCTCAGCCTTACTTGTATACTTGAAGGATTTCAGTAATTTTTTTTTTTTTTGGCAAGGCTTGGCATATTTCAAAAAGGCATATGCTGGTATAGTAGCTTGGACTTCCTCTACTGCCATAGAAATATACTGACGATTTCAAGGTTGCTTTTACATTTAAATAATCATTTGCTTCGTTTTCTTCAGGGTGATTCTGGTGGTCCGCTAGTACAAGAAGACTCACGGCGGCTTTGGTTTGTTGTGGGGATTGTGAGCTGGGGATATCAATGTGGCCTGCCAAATAAGCCAGGAGTGTATACTCGAGTGACAGCCTACCGCGACTGGATTAGACAGCAGACTGGAATCTAGTGCAACCAAGGAAAGCGTGCCGTGAATTATGTATCCAAGTGTACCTGACTCAGATGTCATAGCTTTGCATTTCAACTGCAAAAGAAACTGGAAATGTCCCATTTGAACATCCCATTGCATAAATATGGTTTAACTGTTTAGTATTTCTTTGTTGGTACGGAATTTTACTTTCTCAAGAAAAAACAAACAAGCAAACACTTATGAACATGGCCAAGTAAGAGAGGAAATATGTTAAGCTAGTAACAGGTTGACCGTTTTATTACAGGGGTGTTAAGGTGTAGTAGTGAGAAATCAGATATGTTAGTTAGGTCGCTATTTTACAGAAAATGGTAGTCTTAACATTAAATTTGTGAGGCTGTTGAACAAATAGAGTAAGAACTGTAGCCATGCCAAGTATTTGACATCCCCAAACAAATCTCCCAGGATGTCCTTGCATATTGAACAAACAAGTTAAAATTGTTGTTTTCAAATGAAACCAAGAAGCAGACTTACAAATAGTTTTAGTGGTGGATTTTCATTTTAAATATTTTATCTACATAGAAAAGATGGGTCTCCTCCATGGAGAAGCTGAGGTGATGAATCCACATACCCTCTTCAGCTATGTTTGCAACCACAAGATTCGTTGGAAAGAAATCCCTACCACCAACTTCCTACTGTTGGCATTGTTTTTTAGAGTAACATGATGCTCAATAGCAAAATTTAAGTAGAAAATTTAAAAGTTAATGATGAAGAAGAAGAAGAAGAAGAAGAAGAAGAAGAAGAAGAAGAAGAAGAAGAAGAAGAAGAAGAAGAAGAAG